AAATTTCCGAGTATAATCGATGATGAAGATCAATGAATGGATTGAAATATTATTAGCTATTCGTGAAATCCTTAATGACTGTGAAGTGTAGGATATTATGTTGTAATAGTCCTGTAAAACCAGGATAATTGGACAGCTCACTCATCTGGCATGTGATAATCCTAACACAAGCACTGTAGTTTAAATAGTGGTCATTGTGGCCAGTAACTGTGCTGGTATGGTCAAATAGAAACTCAACATGGAAGCTGAGCAGTTAAGGTACAAAAGATATAATAATAGGATCAATCTTCAGGTAAATGTTACAGGTTAGAGTCAGGTGCGAGTTCTGATTCATTGTTTTTTTTTTTTTTTTTAGGGAGAAGTCACCTTTACCCCCTAACTACTGGGTATCCCCATCCAAAGCCCTCATTGAGATGAATATCCGCCAAAGTGAGGGCATCGGGCGAGACATGACCAAAGACATTGATGATTCAGACAAGTTAATCAAAACAAAGGTCAGTTAAATTTATGAATTATATTTATTGTCCATGCAAAAATGAATAGAAAAAAATGAAAATATAACAAAGTATCTGAGGTATGAGTACATTTTGTGTTTTTCAGGAGGAGCTTGTTGAAAGCATACAGAAGAAGATGGACAAACTTAAAGAAGAAAAGGAAGAAGTAACAAAAGAGTTGGAGGAAACAGAATCCCTGGGGAAAGAGGTACTACTCCATTGAAGTTACTGTTTAGGTCCTGAGATAAGGGGTTATTTTTTTACCATAGAAAGGTTACTTGCATTATATGAGGGTTACACTTGTATATCTGTATACTGGAGTACATTATACAATTATTGACTTGATAATGTCTACTCTTGACTATACAGACCTGGTCAGAAATTAGTTTACTAAGGCTGAAAACTGAGAACTCTGATCATTTGATAAACCTCTATGTTGGGGTTACACAATACTTGTATTACGTGAAAGTAGATTGAGGGATGCATATCTGTAAACAGCCTGGGTCATGTAGCTAGGTTTGAATTATTGGTCTCTTAAGCCTGCTTCCTTCCTTGAAAACTTTATTTAATTATTTAATTTTATTTATTAGGAAATTCCCATTCTTTATCTGCAGTTTATAATCATATTGATCTTTTTTAATTGAAATAATTTGAATTGCTATTTTAGGTCCAGAAAGCTGTTGATAAGAATTGCAAAACACAACACGAGAAGGACAAGTTTAAGACGTACATTGGTGACATGGAGAAAATTATACTCCTTTTGCTGAAAGTCTCAGGTTTATTGGCACGAGCAGAGAATTCCCTCCAAAGTCTACCCAAGGACACCAATGAACGCCTTAAAGTAAGGGGAATAACTCATAAATTTTCAACAGTTGTTCTTCATTAAAATCATCATATATTGGAATAGATGAAAGCTTTTAAAGAGTTAAATTGTATGAAAATTTTTTTAAAAATTGTTTCCTTTTAGAAAATGGCTGTTGATAAGAGGGACAGAGCAAAGCAGCAACATGAAGATGCCAAGGTTTTAAAGGCTGACATAGAAAAGCGTAGTGAACAAATCGAGGTCTTCCTTCAGGAGGCACTTAGTGAAGAGGAGTTTGCCGACTACAAGTATTACGTCAAAATGAAATCAAAACTGACAATTGAAAAACAAGAGCTTGTGGATAAAATAGCTCTCGGTGAGGAACAAATAGCAGCTCTTAAAATGAGCATTCCAGAGAAACACTGATGGAGGTTAGTGTTCCCCATTTGACAAAGTGCTATATTTTTGTGTGATATATGACTGGCATATGCAGTACCGACAGTGATGGCTGCAGAATCAAAATGTGATTTCGTTGAGGACTGATTCCAGACTTTCGTAATGATAAAGTTGTGGCACCTTTGGAATCTCCTTAGGCATTGCTGGTCAATGAATTGTACATTGTGTGAATACAAAATTCATACAGCTTATCTGTATGAATTATTATACCTAGTGTACAGAAATGATCTCGCTGCGAGTTTCTCCATTATTGTAGATGATGCACAGTATGTTGAATAGCAAGTGATTGTAATATTGAACAAAGGTGTATAACTGTGCACGTTTCTGTATAAGCTCCATTTGAGATGGATAAATATCTCTCCACATGCCACAAAAGGTACTGCAAAGCATTGTTAAGATGGTGCTGTCAAACAAAGCTCAAACTATAGAGACATAAACAGTGTAATTACCAGGAGTTTGTGATTGATTTGTTAATGTATAAGCTGTTAAGAACTTTATAGATGAGGGACAGATGTGGGAATAAATCGTGATGTCCGAGTCTGTGTGTCTGTGTGAGAGTGTGCTATTTATTACATTTTTAGTTGATCACACATTTAATGTTCAAACTTGAAATCATGCAACAATGTCATTTTATAAACTATATTGAAAGATAATGCAACACTTACAACCAAACAAAGATCATATCAATTAAAATCATTCCAAGGGGGACAACTCTAGGTCATTCCAGGTAAAAACACCCAGCAAAATACGCAAATGCACTACAAATCAGAGACCCGTATTTTTGGTACGTGTAGCAGCTTTTTAAGTGTAGTAAGTGAGCATTAAGTGTGTAGAGTTGACACAATATTTTGTTATATAAATGCAAGTATTATATATTTTATGATGAATGCAATTTACATCCATACATGCCGTTAAAATATGTTTCCATAGAAATAAAAATGGTGTGTGAAAAAGATCTATTTGTTATATTTTCAGCATCTTAAAAATTTGGGGTTTATTATATATACATGATTGTACATATTCAATAAAACGTTCCATGATGTTTGAAGAAGTGATCCACCAAAACAATGGAGCCAAATCCACCTTTGAAAAAAAAAATCTTTAAAAATGAACAAGGAAATCTTTAATCAAAATAGAACATCTCAAGTCTTTTTATGCCCCCGGATCCAAAGATCCCGGGGGTATATTGTTTTTGTCCTGTCTGTCTGTTTGTCTGTTTGTCTATTTATCTGTTTGTCTGTTTGTCTGTTTGTCCGTTTGTCTGTCTGTCTGTTGTCAACTTTAACCTTGCCCATAACTTTTGGTTGGTTGGAGCTATGACTTTCATATTTCACATGTGTATTCCTTGTGACAAGACCTTTCTTTGGGTACCATCATATTTGACCTTTTGACCTTGACCTTGGAGTTTGACCTACTTTTGCAAAATTTTATGAGACTTTAACCTTGGCCATAACTTCTGAACAGTTGGTGCTTGGGGTTTCAAACTTCACATGTGTATTCTTTGTGACAAGGCCTTCCTTTGGATACCAACAACTTTGACCTTTTGACCTTGACCTTGGAGTTTGACCTACTTTTGAAAAACTTTAACCTTGGCCATATCTTTTGAACAGTTGGTGCTGAGGGTTTCAAACTTCACATGTGTATTCCTTGTGACAAGACCTTCCTCTGGATATCAACCACTTTGACCCTTTGACCTTGACCTAGGAGGTTGACCTACTTTTGAAAAACTTTAACCTTGGCCATAACTTTTGAATGGTTGGAGCCAGGGCTTTCATACTTCACATATGTAATCCTTGCGACAAGACCTTCCTTTGGATATCAACCACCACTTTGACCTTTTGACCTTGACCTAGGAGTTTGACCTACTTTTGAAAAACTTTAACCTTGGCCATAACTTTTGAATGGTTGATGCTAGAGCTTTCATACTTCACATATGTAATCCTTGTGACAAGTCCTTCCTTTGGGTACCAACCACTTTGACCCTTTGACCTTGACCTAGGAGTTTGACCTACTTTTGAAAAACTTTAACCTTGGCCATAACTTTTAAATGGTTGGTGCTAGGGCTTTCATACTTCACATATGTAATCCTTGTGACAAGATCTTTTGGATACCAACCACTTTGACCTTGACTTGACGTTTGACTTTCATTTAAAAAACTTTAACCTTTGCCATAACTTCTGAACAGTTGTATCTAGGTCTTTCAAATTTCACAGGTGTATTCCTCGAGACAAGACCTTTCTTTGGGTATCAACATTTCTTATCTTTTGGCCTGGATTTGACTTGCATTTGAAGAAACTTTAACCTTCGCCATAAGCTGCCATACGGGGGCATCAGTGTTTCACAAACACATCTTGTTTTTAAATTCTTAAGTAATAAATTCAATTTGACTTGGAATTAGAGGGATATTATTGTAGTGTGTACAACTTTGCCAATGATGGGATGCTAGTTTTGTATAATTAATAATTACATAGACTAACATTGGCCATGCCAAAAAAAAAAACCACTACTTGTAAAATGTGTCACAATGAAGAGATGACGAGTGACACGTACTATTATTTAAAAAGTAGAAGTGTAAAAGTGCCATTTTAATTGTGTGTCACTTGATGAAATACTCGGGAAACTTAAAAATACATGTGTCACTACCAAAAAAATTTACTAGATCATGCATCTTTATTTTCCATATTGATCAAAGTTGCTAATATGCACACTGCAATGACCACCATGTTATAATATTCATCCCCTTAAAAAACAGTTAAAAGGGTCATAGTGCCTGGTCCTGGAACAATATGCAGAATACCATTTGACCATTTCGTTGCTGACTTTCAAGAAATGGTATATGATCAAAAAAGCACCTTTTGATTTTTGAATCATAAGGTTAGTATCGAAGTAATGATAGTCTATTGATGATCAAATGTCAAGGCCAAAGCAATAGCTCAAATAATGATGGGGGCACAATAGAGAGAACTATTTGGCAGATCAGTGTCATACAGTATTAGGGATATCAAAAATAAAAGTCTTTTCAGCCATAGACTTTATCAGGAAAAGTTTGAGAGTAATAAATAAACTGTAATGTATAATTGTCATTAATAATGCATTCACTGTATGGCAGTTACAGTCTTTAATAATGATGGGAAAAAGACCGAGTTATTGTTTACCCAAACTTAAAACTAAGAATAGGTCCAGGTAACATATCTATACATGTATCTAAATATACAGACACACTAGTGTTTATCAAACGAACACTTCAGTCAGATTGATATTTAGTGTTTATTTTCAAATAAAAACATTTTCATAATGTAAAACAACAGTGTATATTTATATGGAGCCATTTCAGAAGCCTTATAATCCTATTAAAATATCTGGATCAATGATTGGTAAATTCCAACACTTAAGACATATTAGGAGAGATTCCTTTTGTCACATAAAGTTCATACATATAAGTGCACCTATAACTGTGATATTTTTTAAGTCTAATGCAAAGCTCCAATATTTTGGACAAGTAAGAGTTATTTCCCTCGACAATAAATAATACATACAAAAAAAAAAAAAAAATACAGTTATTATGTCACCACCCCAGCAGCTGAAGAGACTTCTTTCCTCGATTTCAGTAGATTTTTCAGGTAAAACTCTCCTAAAATTTTAAAAGTAGTGTCATTTTCATCAAATTTTAAAGTACTTACACAATACCTTATCTGCTTTTTCCTTAACTGAGGAAACTATTGCTAAAATTTAAAATATGACAAATGTATGCTTTTCATCATGAACAGACTAATATACCAATACAGGCATTTAATGTCATATTTTTCAGACAAGTATAATGAATTCCTCACACTTTACCCATTGACAGTACATATAATATAATAAAATACTAGTAATGTCAATATATGTAATACAAACCTGCTTTGTATGAGGACCTGACTAAAGGCCCACTGGCTGTGTAAGCAAAGCCCAGTTTATTGCCCACTTCCTCCCAGTACTTATATTTGTCAGGATGGACGTACTCTTTGACCTTCAAATGACGCTTTGTGGGCTGCATGTACTGTCCCAAGGTCACACAATCCACATCAATCTTCCTTAAATCTGATCAGATACAGCAATTTTTCAATTTTTTTTCTTTTGCTTCTACTTCTTTTTCCTTATTTTAGTTTCCTCACAACACTTTATATTTCCAATAGGAATCAGTGACTTACCCTCCAGGACTCTCATAACCTGATCATCAGTCTCCCCCAGTCCTAGCATTATGGAGGTCTTGGTGACAAGATCAGGTTTATGTGATTTCACAAACTTGAGTACATTTAGGGACTGTTTGTAATTTGCTCTTGGATCTCTGACCAACCTTTGATAAATTAAATAAATACTTTTAATTAAATTATCTACAGCAACAACTGTTTCCTACATAAAAAAAAGACATCTACATTTCTATAGAGACAAGAGATGTTTGTGAAACACTTATCCCCCCCTCCCCCAAATAATTGGAATTTTTCTAAGTTCAAGGAGCATAACTCTGTCAAATATTGTTCGGTTGTACCCAAAACATAACTTGACCTAGATATTCCCATGATAAATCTGTATACCAAATTTCATTTCAGTATAAGCAACCTCTGCGAAGAAAATGAACGGAAACTGCAAATAATTGGAATTTTTCTAAGTCCAAGGGGCATAACTCTGTCAACAAGAGGCCCATGGGCCACATCGCTCACCTGAGTAACTTTAGCCATGCTGTTCTTTACCAGATTTCCCCTTGAAATAACTATTGTGGCCCCGCCCTACCCCCGGGGGTCCTGATTTGAACAGTTAGAATCTACACTACCCCAGGATGCTTCCACATAAGTTTCAGCTTTTCTGGCCCAGTGGTTTTTAAGAAGAAGGTTTTTAAAGATTTCTTCTACATATTTCAATGTAAAACTTGGATTCCCTATTGTGGCCCCGCCCAACCCCCGGGGGCCATGATTTGAATAATTTAGAATCTACACTACCCCAGGATGCTTCCACATAAGTTTCAGCTTTTCTGGCCCAGTGGTTCTTGAGAAGAAGATTTTTAAAGATTTCTTCTACATATTTCAATGTAAAACTTGGATTCCCTATTGTGGCCCCGCCCTACCCCCGGGGGCCATGATTTGAATAATTTAGAATCTACACTACCCCAGGATGCTTCCAAATAAGTTTCAGCTTTTCTGGCCCAGTGGTTCTTGAGAAGAAGATTTTTAAAGATTTTTTTCTACACATTTCAATGTAAAACTTGGATTCCCTATTGTGGCCCCGCCCTACCCCCGGGGGTCATGATTTGAACAATTTAGAATCTACACTACCCCAGGATGCTTCCACTTAAGTTTCAGCTTTTCTGGCCCAGTGGTTCTTAAGAAGAAGATTTTTAAAGATTTCTTCTACATATTTCAATGTAAAACTTGGATTCCCTATTGTGGCCCCGCCCTGCCCCTGGGGGTCATGATTTGAACAATTTAGAATCTACACTACCCCAGGATGCTTCCACATAAGTTTCAGCTTTTCTAGCCCAGTGGTTCTTGAGAAGAAGATTTTTTCTACATATTTCAATGTAAAACTTGTATTCCCTATTGCTCGATTGTACCCAAAACATAACTTGACCTAGATATTCTTATGATAAATCTGTATATCAAATTTCATTTCAGTATGTGCAACCTCTGCAAAGAAAATGAACAGAAACTCTTGGTGGACTGACAGACAGACAGACAGACAGCAGCAAAGCAATATGCCCTCCCTTCTTTGAAGGGGGGCATAAAAATCAGGGACTGTTGAATACAATGCTAGTTACATATACAAATCAATCCAGTCTAACAATTTCAAATACACATTCATTTTGGTTTTTTGTTATTGTTGTTACAATGGAAACATTTTTTTTTGTTGTTCTAAGGAGAGAATGATAGACACTTCGGCTTATTCCCCGAACGGCTACTCGCCAAAATCAACATCTAATTATCACACCCAATTAAGGGGCCCTCTAAGGGCTACAGGTAGACTTACCTGTATGAATAAATTACCTGAATTTCAATGCATTTAAACAGAACAATCTATCAAGTCATTTTTAGTTCAATATATCCTGTAATTTCCTTTTAATTTTTTTCATTTTTAAAATTTATTTATCTATTTTAACTCACTTATTTGTTTATTTATTTTATTTTATTTGTTTTTTTTTTTGTTTTTTTTTTTGCTGTTAAATAATTTCTATTTTTATCTAAGGGTATACAGTTAAGGTATTTCTACTCTCACAATTTTTGGTTTTATAAGTAGAAAAACTGCATGCAATTATTTTCACTGAATATAGTTTAAATTAATCAATAATCCCAAAAGATATATAAATTGCCACATTTTTTCTAAGACGTAAGACATAAAAAACAAAAGTGTATGTTGAGCATAAAAAATCGTACATTTTTAGTAAACATTATAAAAAATTATATTAAAACTGGTTCGAATGGATAATTCGGATGCTGAAAGTTCCAAAATAAATGTCACTTTCCAGATATGTTCTGATGCCAAAGGTTCAAAATAATTGTTACTTTGTAAATATGTAATTTGAATTGTGAATATCAAGGAACCATTTTACATTAAAAATACAATAAAGGAAAGATACATGAGAAGGAGTTCTTGCCCTAAGCAAAATTTTTCAAAGAGTGAATTGTTGATTAAATAAAGAAAGTATTCATTTTTTAAATTATTTTCGTAAAATATTTTTTCCTTACGCCTATTGCAAAGCATTCTTCCAAAAGATGCTGTCCCCCTTTTTTTTCAAACATGACAATATACTAACACACTTTTTCTTGTGGCAGTTAAGTCATGGAGATAAAGAACTCCCCATCAATAGTATTTAACAGTTTAAAAAAAATATTAAAGGTACGATGATATTAAAAGTGCAATAATACAAAGCAATGTATAAAGTATGCTTTGAAAATATTTTGAAATTTTTCGTTTAAATTTATTCATTAAATCTTTGGGTTTTTAAAAAATATTTTTAATGGAAAAAAATGACATTTCATATTTTTATTTGATTTATCAAATATTGGTTATCCAGGTAAACACAGGTAAATCTACCAATACCCCATAGAGGGCCCCTTAATTGAGTGTGATAATAACTTGTTGTATTTGGCGAGTAGCCATTCGGGGAACACACCGACACTTCACATTAAGAATAAACAACTACAATGATTGACACCTAACCAATAATTGATACCTTACCATTGAAGATCTTCCACTGTCTCGACATTGTGGGCGTATACATCTAAACCAGAGTCTGCCACAGTGGCTACACAATCCAGGTCACCACGAAAGTCAGGGGTCAAGCACTCCACTAGAATTTCTGATTTACTGAAATTAAACCAGTTATTATTTCATTTTTTTGATTTCAAACCTGTTATTATTTCAATTTTTTAATGAAATCAAATTCCATTAAACGTTTTACAATTTTCAGATATAAAATAGTCACCTTTTTTTAATTTCCCTCACAGTTTCAGCAAAGTGTGCAGCTCCACCATCAGGGAGGTCTGTAAAGAAAGAACATGTTGTAAAACAATTCCTCATGGCACACTCTCTGTAATTGCTGTCATTTGAAATAGTGGACATATTTCATGACTGAAATTTAATTTTTTTTTCATGATGAATGAATATTTCTAAGTTCAAATCAAAACTTTAATACAGGATCCACAGTTTTATTCAGATCAATCTTTTTTCAATTCAGTCTGGTCCAAGAGAAAACTCTTTCCTAAAATTTCTTTGAAGTGCAGGCAGTTGGCAACATCAAATTTACTTTTTTCAAAATTCAGCAACCACATTTTTTACAGATTTACCTAAATATCTGATAATTTTTTCATTGTTCCAGAGCTACTTTATTGGTTCAAAACTTTTAAAGGTATTTTTCTGCAGGTATAAAAACATAAAATTATAACCATTCATGAATGTTTGCTACAACTGTATTGATAAAAGGGCTGATCTACCATCCCTGTCCACTGAGGTCAGCACTACATAATCTAATCCCCAGGATGCGATGGCTTTGGCTGTGTTGATCGGTTCCATAGGATTAGGGGGAGGGGGGTTTCTGGCCGTCTTCACTGAACAAAATCGGCAGCCTCTTGTGCATGTGTCACCAAGGACCTGTGAAGCATGATCAAAATTTCACCTTATTCATTTTTCCTTTTCAGATTTTGACATATGTTGTACATGTATATTCTTACAATAAATTACAATATTTTACACTGATAATCTTTTTTCCCATACCATGATAGTTGCTGTAGCTGTCCCTTTTGCTCCTCCCCAGCATTCTCCTATGTTTGGACATTTTGCCTCCTCACAAACCTGAAATATACACAGGAAGATATCAGATAATCATGGATATCAGATAATCCTGGATATCTCAAAGATATCAGATAATCCTGGATATCTCATTGTCAACATAATATCTTCATCAGAATAAAAATTACACATTTCATATCTCTGTGACTTACTGTATGGAGATTCAGATCTCTCAAGTTTTCCTTCAATCTATGATAATCTTTTCCCATAGCTACATCTGTCTTTAACCATTTTGGAAGCCTTAATCTGTAAAATTACATATAAGATTGACCTTAGTACACAAAAATAGTTTCTAGTATGCAATCTGCTTAGATTGGATGCTGCTCTTTCTGATATTGAAACATGTCAAGTTTTGACATTAAACTTAATGCATCAATGAAATTTAAGTATCATAAAAATGAATCGATTACTTGAAATTTTGCATAAAGCATGTACATATGACATTTTTGTATAATGCATATTTGTTTTGGTTCCTTTCACTGTACCCATTCCAAATAGCCACAAAATTTAACTCAAATTTAACAAAGTATAGAGATGATATTGAAAGCTGTTCTTCTTATCAGCAATTTAAAATTTATTTCCAAGGTACAATCATGTAATTAGCTTCATAATTTCTATCTTTTGAGCTAAGATCTTTTTATGAGAAAATAATGCAGCTATGCTAATATTTTTGGATTTTTTTTTTTTACTACAAGACAGCTATCTCATATGATGACATTACAACATATTAATCCTAACACCTGATGTAGCCTTCACATTGCATACATACAGTATGATTTGTCTAATCTGCGAAACTCTGAAATTTTAACCATTTCGGCCTTCAATTTAAATCCCATGTACTTCTGTAATAAATGTAGCATTAAAAATTCTGTGTAGTGTGGATACTGTCTATTCTGTAATCTGTGCGGCTGTATTGGTCCAAACAGCTCATAATTAACGATTATAATTTCCTCTAATCTGGCCACTAGTATTACCTGAGTCACTTCATTGCAATTAACACCTGGCATGGTAGATGTGCTAGCATGCATTTACATATGGTACATGATATGAACTGAAACCAAACGATGACACAACCCACGTAAATAAACATAAGGTTTAGTCACAAGTAATAGACACAACCCATGTAAATAAACATAAGGTTTAGTTACAAGTAATTAACAAAAACTTACAGATTTAACTTGCCTTTTTCTTATGATATATCACACAGTATGGCATAAAATCACTGAAAACGTTCTGTTTTCAATCAAAATATAAATCAGGATCGACCTCAAACATCTAACTTTAAAATAGCGTCCTATCATTGGAGGGAGACATGAATGTTTGAGTATCAAAAACAATGTGATTTCAATAATTATCAAATTGAAAATAATTGTGCTGATATGTTATGGTTTTGTGTTTAAGACAAATTTATACATGTACATGTACATGTATTTGCTATTTGACTTGCAAAATCCATGCTTCCTAGTTTTACATGTTATAAACATGACTCTGTCTATTTGTTTCTGAAGTTGAGTTCAGAGTCTCAAATTTGTGAACTAAAAAGAAAAATTAACAATAGGTCATGTATATATTCTTGATTAATTTCTGTATTCCATGAATATAGAATTATGTAATAATATTTTGCCAACATATACATCAATTGTGAATAAAACAAAAAGAAATAAATAAATCATCAAATGTCCTGCACTCTGCATTCTGTCTAAACCGACCAAGACTCAGGTCATGAAACCAGTGGCATCCAGTTTGGACAAATTATACTGTATTTTTTTTTAAACAATTCTGGTCATTTTATCCTAGTAACCTTTCTCCCTTTTTCATTTTGATGTTTCCTGCATCACTCGATGGATTCCCATGGATAAAGTCCCCAAGCCCTGGACCATCAGTTATCTTCTTTTTCTGTTCATCTGATAATGTTGCATAGGATTTGCAAAATGAAGTACTTTCAGTAACCTGAATAAAATAATTACAATGAACATGTTGAAAATGAAAGTTTAGAGAATATATATCTACTTTTTAAAAAAAAAATCAAATTGTGTTTTCAAAAGTGATCCACATAAAAATATATTTTTTTTATCATAAATTGACTTACACGAATGTTGTCAGATTGAAACCTGTATGTTGTTTAATGTTGATTTATCTATTTAGCTCACCTGAGCTGAAAGCTCATGTGAGCTTTTCTTGTTCGCCGTCCGTCCGTCTGTCTAGATGTCTGTCTGTAAACTTTTCACATTTTCAAATTCTTCTCAAGAACCACTGGACCAATCTTAACCAAAATTGATACAAAGCATCCTTGGATGAGGGAGTTTAAATTGTTAAAATAAAGGGCAAAGCCCCCTTCCAAGGGGAGATAATCAAGAAAAGATAAAACTAGGAAGGGGTTATTAAAAAATCTTCTCAAGAACCACTGGGCCAGAAAAGCTGAAAACTATGTGGAAGCATCCTGGGGTAGTGCAGATTCTAAATTCTTCAAATCATGACCCCTGGGGGTAGGGCAGGGCCACAATAGGGAATCCAAGTTTTACATTGAAATAAATAGGAAAATCTTCTTCTCAAGAACTACTGGGTCAGAAAAGCTGAAACTTATGTGGAAGCATCCTAAAGTAGTGTAGATTTTTAATTATTCAAATCATAACCCCTGGGGGTAGGGTGGGGCAGCATTACGGAATCTAAGTTTTACATTAAAATATATATAAGGAAATTTTTTTTAAAATTTCTAAAGAACCACTGGGTCAGAAAAGCTGAAACTTATGTGGATGCATCCTGGGTAGTGTAGATTCTAAATTTTTCAAATCACAATAAGGTATTACAAGGGGGGAAATCAGGTGAAGAACACCTGGGCCAAAGTTACTCAGGTTTGCGTTGTGGCCCATGACCCTCTTGTTTCACTTCTGGAGGGCCTAACTTTTGAAGGATCTAACTTATTATAAATAAATCTTTATATAAATATCTATAATGAACTTGAGTAGCGCAAACATCTTATTTATTGCATGCTGGTATGCTTAAAAAATGTGATTTCATAAGACCTAAATAATCTACAGCTATTCTAATTCATATTAACAGTTATCCGTGATCTTACTTTTAAAAAAAGTATTACTCTTTTAGATATAGGAACAAGAATTAGGAAAGGTTTACTGACTTGAAGTGTACACGTATACTGAAATCAACCTGGATTACTTAATTCAGCAGAGAAAATTCGAATCAGTTCCCATCCAGTATTGAATGAATAACATTAATTTCTAAGAACGTTAGATGAATGATCATCAATACAGATACACATTTAAGAAAGTACTGTAGTATGAATACTTAAGCTACCTTTGAAATAGCCAGAAAACGTTGAAAAGTTCTGTGGCGTCCCACAACTGACATTTCCAGTTTATTTTTGAAGTAACTCGGGCAAATAATATTCGTAGTAATTCTTTGTGTTTCTTGCCGTGAAACCCTTTGTTTTCGGTTGATATATATTTTTAAAAGTCATTTTTACAAATGTAGATAAAAAAATACATTGGCCACAATTTTTCTTACTTTAAGCACTTTTGTTTATTTTATATAACCAGAATATGAACCACTTAATAAGTTACTACAACAAAAAAAAAAAGACAACGAAGCAGAAGCATCATCACTTTCAGGTACATTTTACTTTATGCAATTAAACCTCCTTTGAGATATTTCTAGTCCATATCACCGAAATAAAATGTATTTGGCATAGGATTTGAAGACATTATTGCCAAAATTACAGATGAAATTGTTAGACTTAGATTCTTTATTTATTTCCAAATCAGGGCCCTGTCAGTTTCAGGCATCACAAACAAGAAACATGATTTCAACAATTACATACAGCATAGACAAATTATGTGTATACAAAATAATCTACAGTACATGTCTTTGTATATAGTACAATTTGACACTGTATATGTAAGTAATATTGATAAATGGGAACACTTCTAGTATACCGGTCCGTATAAATATGGCGCTAAAATAGGTGCCGCCGAAGGCGGTGTACAATATGATATACGATCGCGTGAGCGATCGACAAAATCGATAAAAAAAGGCCACAAATCGCAAAATTGAGCCAAAAATCGTGTTCCTTGTGAAAAATTGGGTTTAAAAAACTGGTTTTTAAACACAGTTTTTTAAATGAGAATTAAAAGGTTTCGTAAAATAACGTACTTGTTTAGCAGATAAAACTCCATTTTGCGTTGTTTAGGAATGTGGTCACATGATCAGTTTTTGACGTAATCTCATAAATATTCATGACGTGCGTCACTTGTGTTCTGACGTAATGAAGACTGATGAAGAAGTAGCTGATAGGACTCAAAGTGAAATGCTACTAAAATTGCGAGATTTTTGTGAGAAATGCAGGGATTTAACAAGTGATAACTAATTACTAGTAATTGGTTGATTGAATTGTGCATCACCATTGATTTGAAAGAAAAAATATTCTGCATATGGACATTAGGAGGTTAGGATATCGAGCTTAAGTAAACGGTAAGTCGCTTTTACCAATTACTTGCCAAAACTTAGCGCACAATATCGGACATATTTCAACATTAGACCAAGGCTAATTCATCCAAGTTTCGCAAAACTTTCCTGTTCTTTGTAAGCAAAAATTGTGGTATAGATGCGAGCATGGGTGAATATAAAACAGTTACAATATCCGAGCTATATATACACTAACCCTAATCCGTAGATCACATACAATGCCATATTTAATTAACGGTTTGTTTAAGTTTTGCATGTTTCATGCTTTACTCCTATAAGATGGTATATCCGTCGGCACGGTTCGACATTAGGCTGATTCATGCAAGTTTTTGGTCACAAAAGGCACTTGGCAGTGCCTTTTGTAAGCAAAAATTACATGAATTAGCCCAAAGTCAGGAAGATTTAAGAGTTGATTTATAAAACAGTTCCAATCTTAAAACAATATACCCTAACCCTAATCACTCGATCGAATGCATTTTGTTGAAGCGAGGGGAAAATGGCGGTTTGTTTACATTCTGCATAGCAACGGCAAGGGAAATAACTGCTCATGCGCAATCGCGTGATTCTGGGGACCGGCATACTAGAAACTTCCCGATAAATGAAATAGTGTTAAGACTTAGTCTATTTTAATTATAGTCAGTGGTAATACTATATAGCATTATTATTTTTTTAAAGCAGTAATCTGTATAGCAGATTATTATCCTAGCGTATTGTATTTTTGACGTAATAAGACATTATCTTTGATTTTTTTACAAACTAAGATGAAAAAGTCAGAGCTCATGAAGATTTATATATGTTTCTGTTAAAAATAATACCGTATTTGGCCGAATATAATACGCATTGGTGTAAAATACGCACCCCCCTTTTTGAGCCTGAAACTGGGTAAAAACGCAGTTCGGTTGTATTATACGCAGCAGAAAATTTTACCAAGCGGTGTTCTGAACTTTTGAAAATCGCGGTAATTTGCTATGAAAATCGGCGCGGAGATAAAGTGCCGAAAATTTACAGCACGATACTTTATTCAAATGCGTTTTAATTCTTAATCTTGACTTTCCATATCGCAGCAATCTGGAGAAATTATTTATTTTTAACAAAGCACGAGAAAATGTGGCATTAAAGTATTAACAGAGTTTATTATTAATTTTTTTTTAGCATACGGTGATATTGAATTATACGTCGCCGTATACTATTCTTTGTAGAAATAATTTTATTTCAACAAAGCACGAGACATTGTTGCGAGTAATTTAACAGTTGTCATATTTATTTTTAGTTTAAGGTAATCATGTTGAAAATTACGTAAATTTAACAGGGCAAGCGATATTGCAACATCAAAGTATTCATAGACTACGATTTTCCTCTTCTGAACTTGAAATTAATTAATTAAATAAATAGCTGATGTTATAAAAATAAAATCAAAATTGAACAAGCGTGTAAAGTTACCAACACACCACCAAAGCTGTGAAAAATGATGTACAAAAGTGGGATATATGTCTTCATACATCGAGGTAATCTTCGTGGATATCTTATTTTCTACAGAGCACGGGTAAATGATAACACTTAAGTTTCAACCTACTTCATATTTCCTTTTTTAACTCTCAATCATTTTAACACGAGGCCGATATAAGATAAAGTAAAATTACATTTAACAAGTGTTTAAACTGTTTAATGTGTCGTAATCACATACGAAAGATCATAAACCAACCCCCAATTTTTAGCAAAGAAAATAATCAAAGCCATTAATAAGGGTAGTAAATAATCAGTGCTCTAAGTGTAAAAACAATGCTTTGGAGTTGGTAAACAATTTAATTGCCTGGAGGGGTGTTGAGGGGTAATTATCAAGTGACAAGCGCACGTGTTCACAGCATTGGCTTCCATTCATTGGGACGTATAGAGGGGTGTTTACGTTGAAATGAATTTTCACTGAGTTATTTGAAACCTAAAATAAATGTTATTTTATTGTATTTCATTAAAAAATGACATTATTTTTTTGACCGGTGTCTGACAGATTAGGTACATGTGTACTATGATTACGGAAGCACGTGGCAAAGGAATGGATGAACATCTATAAATAACATCGTTAATGGCGGCCTACACGGAGACGATGAACATGCAGCTCAAATTAATTTTAACTTGCTTTTTAATTTAATTTAACTATCAAAAGGTTATAAATATAACATTTTTAACAAGCATACATTCCAACAATAACTTTCCGAAATTTTAAATACGGCGATAAACAGCAAGAAATTGCATAAGTCTCTAGGTAATACTACGGTATGTGGGTTACGATGATAGCCGTGTTTCACATGAAAGAAAAACCTATCAAAATCCCATTGTGGTGTAAAATACGCACCCCTTTCTCACAGAAAATTATTTTGGAAAAAAAGTGCGTATTATATTCAGCCAAATACGGTAATATTGTAATGCCTAATGGTTTGAGCCATGGATATTGGCCTGGATAGCTCAGTCAGTAGAGCACATGACTAGTGATGCAGGGGTTCTGATTTCGATGCCTGGTCAAGCCATATATTTTCTTCTTTCCTATTACAATATCGTCCAAATTACATTTTTGTGTTAACTTGAATTTGGTGCCTGTGACGAAGTTGATTTTTTTTTGTCTATTGTAAATATTGTTTTAATGTTGTTATAACGGGTTTCCATACTGTTGGGGTTGTTTTGTTACGAGTATATAAAGGGACCGGTTTTGTCAGAGTGGTCAGATCTAGTTTGGTGTCCGGTAGCGGGACCAGTCGGAGGTGTGCCACATTTGCTGTATCACCTGCATGATTATACAAGTGGCGAATATATTTCGGTGAGATATAGCACCGAATTTAACGAGTAGCCATATAACTTGTTAGGAGGACTATTGCAGCGTGTGTATGCAGTTCTAGCCGTGCGTAAGGTGCTAAGAGAATATGTGTACATAGAAGGCGGGCTGAGAGTCAGTTGAGACTGTTATAAGCATTTGAGGTCAGTGGGGAGCGTTGGATAGAGGGCCAGTCGTGTCATGTCCAATCATCGATGCTGAACAGGAACCGATGTTGGTAGGATAACCGCAGTTGGAGGCGATAGACCCAGGGCTACGGTTAAAGCAACTACCACGTGGTGACAAGAGAACGGTACAGGACTTAGACGTTCCTAGATGAGTGCTAATGGCGGATGCACGTGTGGTGTGACTTCCAGTGAACGTTTATAAGCAGTTGTGATATAGTAACTATTGAGTAACTTTCAGCCGTTTAAGAAAAGGAAATTATTTTTTGAAGTATATATAATTATTAACTAAAATTATTTGAACTTTTTCGGAATATTATTTAAGTCAATTTTGGTGAATTTTTCATTTGATATAATATCTGATACTTACTGAATCAGAATTGTAGAAGTTAATATTGAATTAATGTAAAGTATCGAAATTGGTGAAAACTGAGTTAACAGTTTACTATTACATTTATTTCATTTTCGGTGTGTGAGCCTGTATGTGAGAGTGAGTGAGTGACATAGAATTTATTTGTTTTCTATTTTATTTATTTTGTGTTAATAAATTTATTTGTCTATTCTGATTGATATTGTTTTCCTTCTCAACTCTACAAAATCCAAAAAGAACTCATTACAGTGCCGTTGCATAATTTGGTGCTGTTGACCACCCCTGGACTTGCAGGTGAAAGTCCTGCCAGGGACAGTAATTAAGAACTTGGGTTGAGTCTTTGAGGACAAATTAAGGAGGGAGGAATGTAATGGTTTGGGCCATGGATATTGGCCTGGATAGCTCAGTTGGTAGAGCGTCTGACTTGTGATGCTATCATGCAGAGCCTAGTTTGATTCCTGGTACGGCTATACATTTTGCCCTTTCCTATTACAATATCATCCAAATTACATTTTTTATTTTGTTAACTTGATTTTGGTTTCATCATTAAAGGAGGGTGCAGTTTTCCTTGCAGAAATGAAAGCGTCTTGACAAGTTGTGTTTTTGACCTTTTAATCTGGACTTTCAGTCAGTATTGATGTTCAACGCAATAGTCCAATCCACACTTTGCAAAAGTTGTTTCCCTTTGCAAGGTCAACCAAAAGGTCAATAGGAAAAAAACACAATGTTCTCTCCTTTACACTGCAAAATCAAAATTTTTCCTTTTGATGTATGGGTAGCCACATCCTGAAACTTAAAATACAAGATCCAACAATATTTTTTAAGTCAAATGACAAAGTCATAAACCTGAAAGTTATTAAGGCCAGTGTGAGAATTCATTGGCCCCCTCCCCCTAAGATGGCAGCCAATGGACATAACCTTTGAAAAGAATTCCAGCTATGAAAATACGATCAATTGTCTTCAATAAAAATTTTAAACAACTTGCATATCTTGATTACAGACAATTTTATTCATTGGTTCTACTTTCTCCTTAGTGGCTATGCCCTTTGGAGATTTCAATGAAATAATTTTTGTTGCATTTTTTGTTAAAGAAAAAAACCATATCTATGGAAGAAGAAAAAATCATTTGATTTGCCCCTTTCACTGTAATAGTCATCAAATCATGTGTCATGGAGACAAGGATATAAATTTCTTATTCTTTAGTGTAATTACCTAAATACAGCTTACCAGTAATCAGCAAGTAAAATGAGCATTTGATTAAGTAAAAAAAATGAAAATTTCTGATATATCAGATGAAAATCATGAAAACAAACCTCTGAATTAATTTATTTTGGTTATTTACACAATATTTGTGTTTGTTTTGTGCTTTTCTTCATTTAGCAGTCAAAATTTATGTTGTAGCACATGGTATCTGAATAGGAAGCAATTAATCTAGAAAAAATGTAGATCAAAAATACAATATGGTCTAAAACAGGATATGAGACGACAGGTTTTGGGATTTAAAGAGTAACAGTCTTACAGATACGATTTTCAGTTCATAAAGAGAAAATTTTCTCCATCATTATTTACAGCTGATTTCTATAAAACCTGTATTTCTATTTAACTATAAAGATTGAAACATTAGATCTTCATTAGAATTAGTCACTCAAGTTTTATCATTCTTCTGTTATAAAATTTTCCATTTAATTTGAAATTCTTCCAAAATGCTTCCCCTCTGATAGTTTTGATTTGATTTCAATAAACCTGGTTTACAGAATTTTGTAATGAAACACTTAAAAAAAAAGTTTCAATTATAAGAACAAACCAGTAGAGCTACAGTCTAATCAGAGACTTCTGGTTCAGGGCTCGACATTAACTAAAATATCCACTTGTCCATCAGACAAGATGCTAACAAATATGTTACTTGTCCGAATTCATTGTTGTCTTGTCCCACTCTGAAGAGATATAAAAGACTTTAGAACTGTAGAACTTTTTTTTCAAGAATTAAGTACATATGGTATAATTACTTTTGACTTATAAAGATTTGTTTAATCATGAAAATAAAAACATAACTGATCTTAAATACACTATAACTGACTGTAACTTAGTCTTGATGGTGCTTGTGCGTCCATTGATGATATCTGGTGACGATTGATAGTATCATTTCATATTTGATGTTTGTGATTTTTAAAAAAATCAACGATAATAGCAATATTCCATAATGGTACAATAAGTAACTTGTCCGATTGGACAATTGTATTTGGAGATTGACTTGTCCAATCTCAAGATAAAATTGATATGGACAGTTGGACAAACGTTAATGTTGAGCCCTGTGGTTGTAAGTATAAACGTTGTAAATATACCTGTAATGTATTTTTAATATGTATTTTACTGACAAATATTTACATCCACTGAATATTATTTCCTTAATTTCTTATAAAAACCATTGCCTTTAATTAGTCCATAAACAACACCAAGCAAGCCACCTGCATAGATTTCTTCAGCAACGGCTGTTCCATCAATTATGCATACAATGACGTACACATATATAATACAATATTTAACATAGTTTAATTTACTTTGAATGTTTATTTTTATAAAGATGTAAATATAAACAATAAAATGTCTTTCTTTCTTTGTTAGTATGGGAATTAACGTCGCAGCTATTGCAGAAAAAATTCACATAACCAGCTTACGCGGGTTATGTATTTTTTCTGCAACAGCTGCGACATTAATTCCCGTACTAACAACCAAAGAAAGCATTTTATTGTTTAAATTTACTCTCAACAGGATATTATTATTACATATAAATCAGCTAACACTGAATACAGAGTGTAATACATTGTGTCTGTTTTTTGTATAAAAATCCTGATGAAATGTTGGCCTTACAGGGAAAAAGAATCAATGAAAAAGTTCTATATGTGGTTATATAGGGCTGGCTGTTTTATGTCAAGATAGATATTAATGGATCAAGTAAGACAGCCTCTTAACACATCAATTTAATCTTGTAAAGAAGTTATACAATCAAACTGTCAATATTATAGTACTGCCAGGACAAGGAAAACTGGGACATATATATCTGTGTAAGGATTTGGACATGTACAATTGTAGAACAGTTATAGAGGTTCCAAAATCCAGTTACTTGCAGTCTTTAATTTTGAGTTCAAGAAACTAAATGATTAGTCAATAAAGTTTAAGAGGTCAAGGTATGGTTTAGATATTTGATTGAAAGATATTTTTTTGGTAAAAATCATGAATCTGTTTACAGTTAAGTGAACATTAGCTGCTTATATAAACTGTTTACAGTAGAGCTGTGTTCCTGAAGATTGGATATATTGATGTGATAAATTGGTCGCTGGTTTTATGTCTTATTGATCGGATGAATTGGTGCTGAAGTTTTTATATATGACCCAATATGTCACTCCTTTCTGTTGGAGAATAGAATCATTACATCAATGTTACCATGGAAACAGATATTATAGATTATGTACTACTTCTTATGTAGGTAGACTGTAGAATGGACAAGGCCAAAATGTCATACACTATCATACAGAACCTGTTTTGATCAAATAATGTAGGTAAGTCATGTTTTAATTATGTCAAAATTGAATAAAAAAATATTCAAACAAGATTTTCTTTTGTTAAAAATATAGGTATATATTCAATAAATGAATGCTGCTTTAAATAATTTCTCTCAACAATCAGTAACAGTCCATTCTGATTTATATTTAAAAGAACCCAGCTGATTTAGATAAAAATATCCAAACTTGTTATCATACAATATTTAATGTTCTCAGAATATGTAAGATTTTTAAAAATTTTCTATCAAAAAATTTTATACTAGTCATATTTATTTTGTATAATTATGTTTTTTTCTGGTTTGTTTAAAATGTTTTACAACATAAAGTATTTTTTTTACAACTTGGAGTCTCTTGTTTCCATGTTTCGGATTAATAAATAAGAGAGGTAGCAGCTGTTTATCTGATTTTATCCACATATAAATGCAACATCTGTCGCCTTTATTTGTTGATAATTTCATATTCATATTTTACACCACCCTTCAATAATCATAGTGCATCCTACTAAAAATATATCGAATGGATGACTACTCATTTGTGTCCATGTTTACAACCCAAATCTTTATAGAAAAAGAACTCAAGGTATTACGAGGAAGCAATGTTGCATGAGAAATAATTTGTAGGAATTAATTTTGTTGTTCTCAGATAGCGATGGGAAATTGATTTTGTGGTAGAAAACAACTAGCATTAATTCTGTTGAATTACCACACTCTCTGTCACGTTATTATTGAGACTTAGCTACACGTTATCATTGAGACCTATAGCTACATGTTATTCATGAGACCTAGCTACACGTTATTATTGAGACCTAGCTACACGTTATTCTTGAGACCTAGCTACACGTTCTTATTGAGACCTACCATAGCTACATGTTATTAATGAGACCTACTGTAGCTACACGTTATTATTGAGACCTAGCTACACGTTATTCTTGAGACCTATCTACACGTTATTTTTGAGACCTACTGTAGCTACACGATATTATTGAGACCTAGCTACACGTTATTCTTGAGACCTAGCTATGTGGTCTCAATCATTGTACATTATGATTACTATGAAATGCTCCCTGTCTGGAGAGGTTTGAGTGCATTCATAACTATTACATTCATATTAAATTACATTAAATGACATAACCGTGTCAGTTCTGGAGGGATTTTTTTTTTGGCCATTTACACAATTTTAAAAGATTACAAATTCAATAAACAATAAAAATTATTTAAATGAAATCATTAAAAATATAACATCAATATCAAAGTCATATCAGCTATTTTAAAGGAAGAATTCAAAGGACAAAGGATAAAAAATGTACTTTTTTAATGTTACATGTACGCATGTACTATTACTGTTTTATTAATATTTCTTTACTACAAGTCTTATTTTAGATCAGTATGTACACTTTAAAAGTTCGGATTTGCTTTCTATTAGATATTCTTATTTGTCACATGGAGGGCATCCTCACAACATCAGGGGTCCTGAGTCTACCCGTGGTCATGGGACACCTGACAAACTTCATAAATATTTTGATGGACTTGCTTCTCTCATTGAGAATCACAATAGGTTTTCATAGTTGACATAAAACATAACAGAAAGTAAACGGTTGACATCTCAGTGCATGTGTTTCAAGTTTTTTATCACAGAGAGGCTTAATGTGATTGGTCAAGATTTGTAATTTCCCCGAAAGATATTGCTGCAGTCAGCCAGTAAAATGTACCGGTAGAATGGAGTGTGTCAGGGGTCCCACGCCCATGTGTGGACTCAGGACCCCTGACATTGTGAGGATATATAGAGGGTGAGGCACAACCTGCATTGTACCAGTATGAGAAAATGACGTGGAAGGTGGAGTCCAATAATTGGATATAAATAAGAATATCATTGTACGTGTTGTATAGAACTGCAGATTAATTGATTGTAGGACTTGTATGGAGCTAGCTGGGGACTGAATCAGGCCTATGGTACAGTTTAGCTGACCTGAGCTCATCAATTAGCCTAATAGCCTACAGAGTTACATGGGACAGTCAACATAAAATGAAGGGTACAGAGTAGATGGAGGTAAGTATTTAAGATTTACAAAGTACTGTAAATGTAGGGGTCATCTTATTTCATTTGCAGTAGGCTTGTTACTATTTTGTGTTTACCATAGATTCCTTATGTTAGGCAAGTACTTGATATTGTAAAATGACACGTAAACCTCAAATTGTAAGAAATTGAATTAGCAAGTGGAAGCTGTTTATCAAAAGTTTTAACACATATTTCAGCAAAATTAAAAAAAAAGTGAATGATTTTATTTCGCAAGTGATGATTCTCATGAAATTATGCAATAAATATACAGTATACAGTATAATTTGTCCAAACCGGACACCACAGGTTCTGTGAAAATTGGCCTATTATACAGAATCCGGACTGTAGGAAAAATGCAGGAAAATGTTTGAGATTTATTTCCATTTGTTTTATTCACATATAATAATATGATTCATATGTTGGCTATCTATTAATAAATGATTAAACCATTTCATATTCGTAGATTAAGCCACTTCTCTGTCACACATTGGTCGGAAGACCTAGTACTTAATGCTTCTTGTTTCTTCTTGTTGCATGTAGTTTGTGCTTATTTTCATGTTCAACAAAGTTTGGGGGTATGTCTGTCAATTAATCTGTCTGTCGGGGCCATAACTCTGTAATAGGGAAACACTGGAAGCTCATTCTTGCACAAAGATTGCTTTTGACATTAGGATGTGTCTTGAACTTGGCCCAAGGTCTTTTGAGCAAGTTCAGGGTCACTGGCAGAAATTGTATATAATTTGTGTGGTAAATAACTCTATAATCGAGAAAAATTGGAAGTTGTTACTTGACTCAAAGACTGCTTATTTCCTAAGAGTGTTGACACAAGATCATTTTGGCAAGGTTAAGGTCATTGGCAGAAAAAGTGTATATTTTGTGTCTGGTCCATGATTTTCTATTGGAGAAATATTGGAAGTTCATACTTTATACAAAAATTACTTAAGTGCAGAAAAGCCCTTTGACGCAGTGGTAGAGCGTCTGCTCTAAAGTCTAGAGTCATGGAGTAAGGAGTTAATCCTTATGTCGTGGGTTTGAATCCCACTGTGGGACGTGGAGACTGGTCCTTTGGATGAGACTGTATAAACTGAGGTCCCGTGTCACAGTAGATGTTGGCACGGAAAAGATTCCTCACTGCTCAGTGGTCCTGAGTGCAGAATATAGGTCAAAATTTGCAGCTCTCCACCGGCAAGTGGTGGTGTCTCCATATGAGTGAAAAATTCTCGAGAGAGACGTTAAACAACAAACAAAACTTATGTGCAGAAGGTGAGACATGACATTGATCCAAGGTCATTCTGGGTTCAAAGTCATTGGTAAAAAAGTATAAAGTTCATGTCCAGTTCATAACTCTCAAATGGATAAAGATTTTAAAAGAGAAATTGTAAGCTGGGTGTATACCCTTGACCCCATGTCACTTTGGCAAGTTAAAGATCACTGGCAGAAAAAATTTAAAATTTATATCAGGTTTCATAACTTTCTAATGGAGAAAGTTCATACTGCACACAATGATTACCATAATTAAGACCATAGGGTGTGTCATTTACTTGAACCAAGGTTATTTTTGGCAAATTCAAGCCCCCCCCCCCTTTTTTTTTAAATCTATATGCATGGGCATTTAAAAAAAAATTCAGTCGGGAGGTGGGGGGGGGGGGGGGGGCTTAATTTTGTTAGCTTACTCAGAATAACTCTAGTTAGATCATTGTCTTTTCATATCCTGACTAAGATTTGTCAAAAATTTCCTATAGGGAAGTGATCAGATGCATGGCTTTTACTATGTCTAATGATACATTTAAACACTACTCGATTTTGTTTTACATAGAGGTAAAATTGCTACGAGTGTATATGTTCTCAGAAATAATTACCTTCAATAGAATGTAATCTCATGAGATTGATAAAGTCATTACTTTACATTGAAGAAATAATATAAAGAGAAAGAATTTAATTTTTTCATGCAATAGCATGTAATTGACTAATTGTAAGGAATCTTTACTCAACCCATTAGATTTGGTCCTTTGTATAGTTATTGACCAAATCTCATAGTGATCATTAAAGTTTTATCAATTTATGTACAAGTCTCTTGTTAAAGGAATACTAGGTGGCCATAGAAAAGAAAAATATTGATTTTAGAGTCAAAAAGTTTATTGTTAAGTTCCACAATAGACTCAAGGATGCTGTGAGCATCATCTGTCAATATATTCACCAGTGTTGACCAGAAAAAAGCATATTAATTCCCTGAGGATCTGGAATTTATAGGTCATAATTGGTAGAGACACTTTGACCTTTACAGAGAAATCTCCACTAGCTATGGAGTTATTGTTTGTAGAAGATTGTGAGTTAAAAGGTCAAGGTTATGTTTGACAGTTGGTGAGGCAAGCTTAAGAAAACTCTCTGATACAGTTGTATATTGCTGCATAATGATTGTAAAATGATAGAGGTAAAACTCAGCCACTGTGAAAGTTTTGAATTGATGGTGGTATGGTCAGCCTAAATTACATGTTAAAAAAATGATTGACCATATAAAGTCATCTTAGGTTCACAGGAAAGGTCACTTCTATTGAAGATCAGATGGAAATTTTCTGTTTTGCATGTATGTATATTTATATTTTTTTAATGCAAGGGGGCACTCCCCTTATGTAGTACCTTGATTTTTGAAGGTATTTTAGTAATTGATTCAGTACTAATATATTAAAGTATTTTTTTTTTACAGCCTCATGCTCAAGATGCCAGTGAGAGATGACAGGAAATACAAGGACCTTCACTTGGAGAGAAACCATGTATATAATGTGTATGACCAGATTGCACCAAAGTTCAGTGAAATCTCCCAGAAAGCCTGGCCAAATGTCCGTAGGTTTCTCAAGGATTTGCCTCCTGGATCCATAGTGGCTGATATTGGTAGACACATTTAACTAAAGTTTTAGAAATTTTTTCTTCTTTTTTTTTTTGTACAAAATTCATATTGCTATAAAAATGATGTGTAACTTATCGACAAAAGTGTTTAGTAGTTATGTTTGTTGTATTTCATTAGTAATCTAGGAATAAAGTGTGGAAAATGATAATACATACATGTAAAATAGAACACAAATGTAATACATGTATTTACAGACTTCACTATTTATCTATCTCAGGTTGTGGAAGTGGCCGCTATCTTCACATTAACAGTAAAGTTGTGAAATTTGGAGTGGATATTTGCTCGCCATTGGTAGAGAATGCCAGAAATAAGGGACATGAGATGCTTGTGGCAGACAATTTGAGCCTTCCATTCCGAGATGGAGTATTCGATGCCATCATATCTATTGGTGTCATCCACCATTTCTCTAGTCAGAGTCGACGTCTTCAAGCTGTGAAGGAAATGTGTCGTTTGTTAAGGCCTGGTGGACAGATTATGATATATGTATGGGCTTTTGAACAAAAGCACAGAAGGGTATGGCAGTCTCTTGATAAATAATCAGCCTTATTTATAACATAAGCATCAACTAAGGAATGTCAGTCCTCTTTTTGATTGTATCAAGAATTTATGATAGCTTCATTGATATAAATGCATAACAAATTCAAAAAGAAAATGTAATCAGTATCCTTGTTACTAGGTACTGAAAATTAAGATTTCATACCTCCCCACAAAGTTTAGGGGGATAATTATAAGAGTCACCTTGTCCATCTGTCTGCTTTTCTATCTGTCCGCAACCGTGTCCAGTCTATAACTGTAATTGAAAAAATTAGAAGTTCAAATATTACCAGGTACTTGTGACCTGAGGAAGTGATATGACCTTGACTCAGTGTTATTAGGCAATCTCAAGGTTCCTTGAAAAAAGCATAAAATTTTTGTGTAGTTCATAACTTTCTTAGGAGATTACTTATGACCCAATAGTGTGTCCTATTGTTTAGGCAAGTTCAACGTCACATTCAGAAAAATGTATGTAATTCCAGACCTTGTCAAATTTTGTAATGGAGAAACATTAGAAGCTCATATTCGACACAAAGATTGATAATGACTTAAGGATGTGTAATGCTCATGACCCAAGGTCATTTGGGTAAGTTCAAGGTCACTGATAGGTAAAGTACACTGTATATCAGTCTGTTACTTTCTATAACTTCCTACTGTAAAATCATTGAAAGTACAAAGATAACTTTTGAACAGAGGGTGTTTCATGATGTGAATGAGAAGTCATTTGTCAAATTCAAGTTAACATTAAAAAATGTTTAATTCCTGTTCTGACCATATGTACTGTAATGGAGAAATATTGGAAGCTCATACTACAAACGTAGATTGTCATGACCTTGACTCAAAGTCTTTTGGACAGGTTCAAGATATAGTGCATCATTCAAATCCCATCCATAACTTTATAAAAGAGAAAAATAGGATACAGAAATTTAAAAAAAGAAAAGCATTGGAGAGGGGGGGGGTCATTTTGTGAGTTTTCCAACAGCACCTATAGATATCTCAAATACCATGGATACATTAAATTGAGTAGGAACTCCCAACCAATTATTTTATGTATTTTGATTTTAATATCTGGAAGGCTCTGATAAGTTTTCCTCTGCACATCAAGATAACAAGGTTTGACTGTATAGCTAAACTTCTGAGTGTTTGTTTCAGTTTAAAACTCAGGATGTCTTGATTCCTTGGCACAGTAACCAGAGCAGCAAGAGATCTGGTAAGAAACCAAATTTATACTCTACCAATTTCAATTACTTATTATGTGTATTAATGATTGTCTACAGAAATATATATCGGGTTGATCAATCTTTTACACAGCGAGGCAGAGCTGAGCCAAGCCAAGCTTGATCAACCCGATATTTTTCTGTAGACAGTCAGTAACAAGCATAGTAAGTGATTTATTTTCTGATCAGTGATCAGTAAGCATAATGTGAGAGACATAAACACAAGAAAGGCCCTTTGCAATGTTTATCAGAAGGGGGGTTCAGAATGGGGGGGGGGGGGGGACAAACAAGAAAAAAAAACAATAACTACCAAAACCCAGAAGGGATGGAATCATCCTCTAAATTTTTGGCAATTTTTCAAGGCAATAACATGACATACTCCCCCCACCCCCTCCTTCCCAACTGTGTGTGTTTGGGGGGGGGGGGGGGGAGGTGGCATTTGAATAATATAGAATCTAATCTAATCTAATTTAAATCTAATTTAATCTTTGTCACAGGCTCATTGGATGGAGGTTTGTCCAGCAATGCAAGCTCTGATAGTGAGTCATCAGTTGACATTGAGGACACCAGGAATTCAAGAAGAAACTTCAATCGAACACTCTCAGATCCAGGCAAAGAGCAAGATAATACTCATCTACAGTCCTATCTAAAATCTGTCGCTCAGGAATCCCACCTTTTGTCCAAAAGACACAGGTGTAATACCCTCCCCAGCTCACTTGAGGGACTTTCTGGGGAGGAATCTCAAGATAATTTTGTACCAAGTGTTCTTGCAGCTGAGTGCAGAAAGTTTGAGGCATCTCTTAAGGCCATGTCTTCAAGTATGTTCTACCTCAATGAAAATGAATACAGGTCAACCACTGAAAATGAAAATGAATACAGATCAACCACTGGAAATGGACAAGCAGATCTAAGCAGTCATCAAAATTTGCGTCATATAGCACTTGAAAGCTTTAAGTCAGGTGATTGTATTCAGCCAATCAGAACCCATAGAACAGTTGAGAATGGAAATTCAGAGAAAGCAGCAGAGATTTCACATAGGAACCATTCTGAACATTTTAAGATTGACAACACAAATAGCCATGAAAGAGACAAGCACAAGTCTACTTCAAAAGTCATCACTGATATTCAAGAGCCCTGTGGTATAATCAAGTCAGCGGTGGTTCAAGAAAATGTTGACAGTTCAAGAAAATCAAATAGCAATTGTGACATATGTCCAGGGCATAAACCAAGCTTAACTCAGTATTTGTGTAGCAATGATCCTGAAAAGGATCCAGATGTTACGTCACAAACAACTTTAAAAGATGGTGCAAAAGCAAGGAAAAATAAATTCACACTTTTTTCCTCCATCAAGGAGAGTTTTCTTAATTTTTTTGAAGGAAAATCATCAAAAATGAAGAAGCCAAAACTTGAGACAGCATTATGTGATAGTGGAGAAATGGATGTGAGTGATTTTGCTGTGAGGGAGTTCCCAATGAGTAGCTGTCCAAATTACAGGAAGGAGATTATATCAGAGGAGTTGAAAGCCTTTCAGAGCAGTGAAATTCAGGGAGCAACATTATCCTGTGTTACAGATGAACTCAATGTTGATTCAGAGATGAGGAACAATCCTGCATGCCATACATGTTTGGAAGCTATAGCATCTGACAGTCAAGAAACATCCTGCCATATTTCATGTCAAAATGATACTCTACTTAAGCATTCCATGTCAGACTTATCACCCTCAAAATGCCAGTCTTTAAAACGTTTTGATGAAATGTCCTCAGATAGTCTCAAACTAAGATCTCACATGAGTGGCCTGTCTCAGAGACACTCTTATAGCTTGCCAGCTGTCAATCATATCACAGAGGCGGTCCAGGACAAGTATTCCACATCCTCAGTGCCTTCGTCCCCCGCAGTAAGAAACGAAACATTAAACAAGTCAACAGAACTTAGCAGATTTTACCATGTTTTCAAAGATGGGGAATTGCCAAAGCTTATTTCAAAACATGTTCCAAATGTGAAAATTGTAAGTTCAATTTACGATCATGCTAACTGGTGTATAGTGGCAGAAAAATGTAATTAATTGGATTTTTTGCCAGTAGAAATCTATTTTATCAATGAATTTTAGTGTTGTAAATGTACTACCGGTATTTTCAGTGTCACAAATTTGATAACAGTGTATCCCTCCCCCTTTATATTCATTTACTTGGTAATTGTTAATATCTAACAATTTTTTGTATATTTTTATTGTATTTTTACTTAGAATTTAAGGATCTCAAAAATATGGTGCATGCAATTTACAGATTTCAGTCTACTTAAATTTTTCATTATATCTCAAATACAGTAAAACTCAGTAAAAAAGAAATCCCTTATAAGGAAATCTCAGTAAAAAGAAAACTGTCAACAATCTTGTAACAGACTCACTTATAAGGAAAGCTCAGTAATACGAAAACTGTCAACAATCTTGTAACAGACTCGCTTAGAAGGAAATCTCAGTAATAAGAAAACTGTCAACAATCTTGTAACAGACTCGCTTATAAGGAAATCTCAGTAATAAGAAAACTGTCAACAATCTTGTAACAGACTCACTTATAAGGAAAGCTCAGTAATACGAAAACTGTCAACAATCTTGTAACAGACTCGCTTATAAGGAAATCTCAGTAATAAGAAAACTGTCAACAGTCTTGTAACAGACTCACTTATAAGGAAATCTCAGTAAAAAGAAAACTGTCAACAATCTTGTAACAAACTCACTTATAAGGAAATCTCAGTAATAAGAAAACTGTCAACAATCTTGTAACAGACTCACTTATAAGGAAATCTCAGTAAAAAGAAAACTGTCAATAATCTTGTAACAGACTCACTTATAAGGGAATCTCAGTAAAAAGAAAACTGTCAACAATCTTGTAACAAACTCACTTATAAGGAAATCTCAGTAATAAGAAAACTGTCAACAATCTTGTAACAGACTCACTTATAAGGAAATCTCAGTAATAAGAAAACTGTCAACAATCTTGTAACAGACTCACTTATAAGGTTATCTCAGTAAAAAGAAAACTGTCAACAATCTTGTAACAGACTCACTTATAAGGAAATCTCAGTAAAAAGAAAACTGTCAACAATCTTGTAACAGACTCACTTATAAGGAAATCTCAGTAAAAAGAAAACTGTCAACAATCTTGTAACAGACTCACTTATAAGGAAATCTCAGTAAAAAGAAAACTGTCAACAATCTTGTAACATACTCACTTATAAGGAAATCTCAGTAATAAGAAAACTGTCAACAGTCTTGTAACAGACTCACTTATAGGGAAATCTCAGTAAAAAGAAAACTGTCAACAATCTTGTAACAAACTCACTTATAAGGAAATCTCAGTAATAAGAAAACTGTCAACAATCTTGTAACAGACTCACTTATAAGGAAATCTCAGTAAAAAGAAAACTGTCAACAATCTTGTAACAGACTCACTTATAAGGAAATCTCAGTAAAAAGAAAACTGTCAACAGTCTTGTAACAGACTCGCTTATAAGGAAATCACAGTAAAAAGAAAACTGTCAACAGTCTTGTAACAGACTCGCTTATAAGGAAATCACAGTAAAAAGAAAACTGTCAACAGTCTTGTAACAGACTCACTTATAAGGAAATCTCAGTAATAAGAAAACTGTCAACAGTCTTGTAACAGACTCACTTATAAGGAAATCTCAGTAAAAAGAAAACTGTCAACAATCTTGTAACAGACTCACTTATAAGGAAATCTCAGTAAAAAGAAAACTGTCAACATTCTTGTAACAGACTCACTTATAAGGAAATCTCAGTAAAAAGAAAACTGTCAACAATCTTGTAACAGACTCACTTATAAGGAAATCTCAGTAAAAAGAAAACTGTCAACAATCTTGTAACAAACTCACTTATAAGGAAATCTCAGTAAAAAGAAAACTGTCAACAATCTTGTAACAGACTCACTTATAAGGAAATCTCAGTAAAAAGAAAACTGTCAACAATCTTGTAACAAACTCACTTATAAGGAAATCTCAGTAAAAAGAAAACTGTCAACAATCTTGTAACAGACTCACTTATAAGGAAATCTCAGTAAAAAGAAAACTCTCAACAATCTTGTAACAAACTCACTTATAAGGAAATCTCAGTAATAAGAAAACTGTCAACAATCTTGTAACAGACTCACTTATAAGGAAATCTCAGTAATAAGAAAACTGTCAACAATCTTGTAACAGACTCACTTATAAGGAAATCTCAGTAAAAAGAAAACTGTCAACAATCTTGTAACAAACTCACTTATAAGGAAATCTCAGTAATAAGAAAACTGTCAACAATCTTGTAACAGACTCACTTATAAGGAAATCTCAGTAAAAAGAAAACTGTCAACAATCTTGTAACAGACTCAGTAATAAGAAAACTGTCAACAATCTTGTAACAGACTCACTTATAAGGAAATCTCAGTAATAAGAAAACTGTCAACAATCTTGTAACAGACTCACTTATAAGGGAATCTCAGTAATAAGAAAACTGTCAACAATCTTGTAACAGACTCGCTTATAAGGAAATCTCAGTAATAAGAAAACTGTCAACAGTCTTGTAACAGACTCAGTAATAAGAAAACTGTCAACAATCTTGTAACAGACTCGCTTATAAGGAAATCTCAGTAATAAGAAAACTGTCAACAGTCTTGTAACAGACTCACTTATAAGGAAATCTCAGTAATAAGAAAACTGTCAACAATCTTGTAACAAACTCACTTATAAGGAAATCTCAGTAATAAGAAAACTGTCAACAATCTTGTAACAGACTCACTTATAAGGAAATCTCAGTAATAAGAAAACTGTCAACAGTCTTGTAACAGACTCAGTAATAAGAAAACTGTCAACAATCTTGTAACAGACTTGCTTATAAGGAAATCTCAGTAATAAGAAAACTGTCAACAGTCTTGTAACAGACTCAGTAATAAGAAAACTGTCAACAATCTTGTAACAGACTCGCTTATAAGGAAATCTCAGTAATAAGAAAACTGTCAACAATCTTGTAACAGACTCACTTATAAGGAAATCTCAGTAAAAAGAAAACTGTCAACAATCTTGTAACAAACTCACTTATAAGGAAATCTCAGTAATAAGAAAACTGTCAACAGTCTTGTAACAGACTCACTTATAAGGAAATCTCAGTAATAAGAAAACTGTCAACAGTCTTGTAACATACTCACTTATAAGGAAATCTCAGTAATAAGAAAACTGTCAACAATCTTGTAACAGACTCACTTATAAGGAAATCTCAGTAATAAGAAAACTGTCAACAATCTTGTAACAGACTCACTTATAAGGAAATCTCAGTAATAAGAAAACTGTCAACAATCTTGTAACAGACTCACTTATAAGGAAAGCTCAGTAATAAGAAAACTGTCAACAATCTTGTAACAGACTCACTTATAAGGAAATCTCAGTAATAAGAAAACTGTCAACAGTCTTGTAACAGACTCACTTATAAGGAAATCTCAGTAATAAGAAAACTGTCAACAGTCTTGTAACAGACTCACTTATAAGGAAATCTCAGTAATAAGAAAACTGTCAACAATCTTGTAACAGACTCAGTAATAAGAAAACTGTCAACAATCTTGTAACAGACTCACTTATAAGGAAATCTCAGTAAAAAGAAAACTGTCAACAATCTTGTAACAGACTCACTTATAAGGAAATCTCAGTAATAAGAAAACTGTCAACAATCTTGTAACAGACTCACTTATAGGGAAATCTCAGTAAAAAGAAAACTGTCAACAATCTTGTAACAGACTCACTTATAAGGGAATCTCAGTAAAAAGAAAACTGTCAACAATCTTGTAACAGACTCACTTATAAGGGAATCTCAGTAAAAAGAAAACTGTCAACAATCTTGTAACAGACTCACTTATAAGGGAATCTCAGTAAAAAGAAAACTGTCAACAGTCTTGTAACAGACTCACTTATAAGGAAATCTCAGTAATAAGAAAACTGTCAACAATCTACTCACAGACTTTCCCTATTGGTATTAGTTAAATATAAGCATATATTCCATTCTTCTGTAAAATTTAATAACATTGCAATTTTTCAAGAACTGCTGTCCAAAAAGTAGCTCTGAAGACATGTTAGAGGGAACTTGATTTATAGGTAAAGATAACATCTGATGTTTAAGCAAGGGTTGTCTTCCTTGATACAGAACAGTTATTGTTATACCAGCTTTTATCTGTGTATGGATATTCATAACTGTCTTTTTTATACTTGAAAATCCTTTTTATTTACAAGCAGTTACTTTATTCAAATTTTTAACTATTGTATTGTTTTTGTGATTGTGATGCCTACATTTAGAACACAGGAGGGAGATCATTAGGAGATAAGATATGCTAAGTGTATCTTGTGTGTTATATGTAGGAGGTATTGTATTACATGCTTCTGATGCATGTGATAAGACTGATTAATAGTGTATGAGTGTAATGACGTCTACTTTGAGAGAGTGAGTGATAGAATTTGTAATACTGTTGTAAAACTAACACTGTGGCAACACAGTGGATATAGTAGCCTGCTTTAAAAGCTAGTCTCCCAAGTATGATCTGAAATGCCATGACATGCCAACAATTTATTTTATTGAGACATGTTCAGTCAATTATTAATGGGGTTATGTTAATACATTTATAGCAGTTTGTGACTTTTATTGAAGAATTAGGAAGGGGGGATACTGGAATCACCATGTCCATCTGTCTAGCTGTTCATTTGTCTGTAGACACTTGTTTTTGTCCAGAGATTATCTCCAAATCTGTGCAATAGTTTCCGTTTTTTTGTCATTTTATAGGATAATAGAATTTCAATATGTGCACCCTGTACTTTCAGAATGATTCGTCAAAACTTGAAAGTGTTTTAGCATTTTTATGGATTCATTGTACCTCACTTCTGTGATAGGGGTAAGCAGAGTATAATTCTTGTTTAGACTTTACTTTGAAACTAAACACGCTTTTAAAGCTCATACTTGATTACAAAGGTAGATTGTGATTAGAGATGTTTCCTAACCTTGTACCAAGGTCATTTGCATAAGGACAAGGTCACAAGGTACTTAAGTATTGCATTATTGTTCTAGCCACCATTTTGAAATGGAGAAGCATTAGAAGCTGATACTTGAAAAGGTTGCTAGTGATTTGAGTATATGTCCTGACTCTAGCTCAGAGTAAGTTTGACAAGGTCACAGGTTTCAGAAGTGTGAAGTTCTTGCCTTGGTCATATTTTGAAGCAAACAGACATTAAAGAAAACTATTCTGAGCATAAAAGTTTACTGTGATTAATAGAGAGTTTGTAACAACCCAGTACCATGTTCTGGATTAAGGTCAAGATATCTGAGTTCAAAGTGTAAAATTCTAAGAATTATCATTGAAAAGGCAACTGTAAAAATCACTTATTTTCATGAAGTCAAATTTTTGGGGTTTGGAGGAAAAATGTTTCTTGGGGATCTGATTTTGTTGATGAAGAAGTATTCTGTTGTTGTATGTTTGAAAATTTACATTTTGGAGGAAATCTTCAAACCACATAAAACAACAAAAATTAAACCCATGTGAAAATAAGTATTTTTACAATGTCTGATTCTTAATGTTTGTAATTGAGCCTTCTTGATTCAGGGGCCATCTCATATTTGGCAACTAGAGCATGATGACAAATATTTGTGGGTGTCAGTTTTGAACTTATTTTGCATTTACTTAAGTATCAGATACTATCTACAATGAATTGTCTGTCCCATGAAGTAGACTAAACCCACCAGGAAGAGAGATAGAAAAAAGAGATACGATTGATGTTGAGGCATTCAACATCAATTGAGAAATTAAATGTTGTTATACTTAAGTTATACTTAAGTTGATATTTTGATGTCAACCTCTATAGGTGTAGGCTGTCTCTATTTGGTCTATTTATTTATTGTCAGAAACATTTATATTGATTACAATGATGAGTTACTAATGAGTGACCTGTTTAGTGCACTTTTATAAGAAATTGCTTGTTCTTTCACTTCAAACTTGTGTGCCTTGTAAAAGCTTTCATATTTATGGAAAGTTTTGCAGATTCATTTGGTGATAATTCCATATGCCAAGTTTATGCATTCATAACACAATCAAATGGAGAAATTTTTTCTAAATGATTTCTGTCTATTGCTATGTTTATTGAACTTGCACAAAAAAAACATTTTGCTACGGTTTAATCTTAACATGCATCTCAGAATCAAAAATATTGTGATTAATTATTTGCTGATACTTTGATGATTTCTTTGATTGATTTATGTGTTGTTCAAAGTCAACCTACACTAAGAGATATTGTAGGTCACATTTTGGAGTACACTCAACTGCCATAAAATTCTTGAATGTGGATTTGAGAACTTGATGATAGACTTAATAATTTTTCTACATAGGTACATAGTTTAGTCATTTGTCCCACTGTATTACATTTTTCCAGTGCAAAGCAATTCTGAAAGAGCCATATTTAAACTCCAATTTTTTTTTTTTGTTTTTGTTTTGTTTTTTGTTTTTTGTTCCTGATGTATTGTACATGTAGAATGCTCAAAAGATAAGATTTGAGATTACCTGCAGCTGCATATCAATTTTTTCCTTGGAAGTGCAATATAGAAAAAAAAAACACATGATACATATCTAGTCACATAACAGTATAATATAAAATAGTTAATATATTTTGAAAAGAGATTGTTCAATAATTATTCAATATTTTGTTTCTTTATTAATATTTCCTATATCAGAACTGGATTGTCTAGAAGAACAAGGGAAATAACTTTTAATTTGTAACCCCTGTACAAGAAATGTGACTTCAGATGTTAAGATTATTTGGTTAGAAAATAACTTTTGTGATCATGATTGAAAGAAGATGAAAAAATACATATTTCCAGAATCTAATTTGCTAAATATTTTAGAAAATATATTTATTCCAAAGTATGATCAGGGTGAAATATATGAAATTTTTAGGCCTATCAATATGTGCATTTTTAAGTTTTCTCTCCCCTTAGTGGCTGGAGTTTTCTCCCTTGTTCTACTTGAAAAAGGTTTTGTCATTAACAGTAATTAACAGTATGCAGATTTTAAGGGATTACAGGTGCCATGACTTATTTATTGTAGTTTTAAAGCCAAAATTTGTGATATATGTTTATATTAATTAAATAACTGATCATTGTGAAATGTCAAAATAAATTTTTGTGTAAATAAATTTTAATATTTGTTTTATTATCCCTGGACCTAAATTCTTGTGTGGTTATATTTGAACAGGAAACTGGCAAATTGCTTGCATGACTGAATGAGCAATAAGCCCTTTTCCAAAATTTGAAAATACATGACTCCTGGATGCAAGGTTTAGGCTGCAGAACTTGACTAATTTGCCAATTCATCATACATGTACCGGTATATAAAAAGTATATCACCATTTGTTTTTTAGATCATGTATGTCAAACAGGAAAACTATATGCATGAGAGGTTTTGCTAGGCCTTAGGGTGTGGCAAAAGTGAAAAAATTATGCAAACACTGCAAAGTGAAAGACGAACTCGTAGTTATAATATATGAATCACCTTGTCTGTCCATTTATTGGGTGCATTTCATGAGGGCCCATTTTTCACGTCATTGCTTTCATTTGGACAGAACGGCTTGGCCAAGATCAGGTGCCCATTTCCAACTACATCATGTTATATAGATGTAGCTCTTTATAGTTACATCTAATCTAAATGTCTTTTATTGCACTGCAAAGATCAGAAGGAGAGCTTTCCATTGGTATATAATATTATATATATAGTATCTGCATTTTTGAAAAAACAACAGAATAAAGTCAAAAATTCATAATTTTTGAAGCGTTATGCTGTTGCACTTGATATTTTGCATTTTAAATAATGGTTTATTAAAATTATTTTGAATGAAACATTCCAAAATAAATGTACTTTATTATAGAGAAATCATTCTGGTTTAGTTTATTTTTTACAGAAAAGAAAAAGGATAAAAATTGTGGAAATTATGACTAAATATGTGCAGATATACCTTTGTTATATAATTTAAGATTTATCAATGTTTGAATAAATGCATAATTTCTATCAAAAAAGAGCAAATATAATTTGTTTAAATTTCTTTTATTTAACTTAAGAAAGAAAGTACTATGAGAAAAATATAGTGGTTATATTGTAAAATGTGTGCGCATTTTGTATTTTATTTTCCGTACTGGTCTATTATTTTGTATAGTCCGTAGCCCCATATTTCATAATAGTTTGTGTTCAACAAAAGAATGTAGAATTAATCATGCTCTTGTTAAATATTTTCTATGAGGCACCGTTTTGGTATTTACTGCCAAAAAGTGATATCACCTATTCGAATAAGTGATATCACCTATTCGAATAGGTGATATCACCTATTCGAATAGGTGATATCACTCATTCAAATTGAATAGGTGATATCACCTATTCGAATAAGTGATATCACCTATTCAATTTGAATGAGTGATATCACCTATTCGAATAGGTGATATCACCTATTCGCATTTCTTACAACAACAAATAATGAATGCTCCCTTCCTCAAGATTATCTAGATTTTCATTGGAACCAAGCAAATTCGGGCTGCGTTAGGGTCTGTAAGTCTCGTCACGTGACTCGCGAGATTTTTCGATAATATTAAGTTCCAGGTACCTCACACATGGAGATGTGTATTGGGTTATGCATGTTTATGGTTTACACAAAGCGTATAAGGAAAGTTTAAGCAGTTGTACAAAGCCGAAGGATTCTCCGACTTACGATGGATAAATTGAGGGTCATAAAAGCTTGGGTGCGAGCAAGTAGGAGGAGAATTTCGATCGAAGTACAGGTAAACAAGTCAGAGAATGTCACCTGCTTCTTGGGTATTGTTGGGTGAAATAGAAGTCTTATATTATACATTTGTATCTGATTAGAATAGTTTTGTTATCATCATTCCAACTAATTTATTAACAGATTTTTCTTGAATTCGAGGATAATGATGTTATTACCAGTTGATTAAGGAGGAGTAGTGTAAGTGTCAGATGGGTACGAACGTCATCTTGTGACAGCATCACCTTTGTTTGGGTAAATAATTTGTTCAGAATACGCTTCATTTATCAACAAAAATTTAGCTGTTGCATGTCAGTAGGTCTAGTTTTTTAAGTATTCAATGTTTGAAAGCACTTATCAGGTCCAGTACAATCTTTTGATTTTACTATATATATAGCTTTATTAAGCTGTTCAGAATAGCTTAATTTAGCTATTTTATCACACTTTTTCTTAAATTTATACTTTTCTCAGCATGCACAAAAAGTCGCACCTTGGTGCAGTGATGATACTCAACCTTGAACTCATCTGAAATTGATGCATTTAAAACTCACTCATTAAAATCTCCTTGCATACATCATACATGTGATAATTTTTAGGCCCAAATACTGTACAGCAGTCCTCAAAATACAGGAATTTGGGTGAAAATACTGTACATATTGTTCATCAAAAAACTATACAAAAAACTGTAAAAAAAATATTGACCAAAAATCAATGTAAGAGGTTCATTTTTTAAGCTCTTCTGAGCCAAAGGCCCAAAGAGCTAATGCTATGGCCATTTGTGCGGTGTGCGTAAACTTTTTAGAATATGGGCCATAACTCAAGAACCCTTTGGCCAATTATTGTCAAATTTGTCACAGGGTATCCTTGGGCTAAGAGCTTCCGTTTACACTAAAACTAGGGTTGTGACCCTTAAACAAGGGGAGATAATTAGGAAAATAGAAACAAAAGAGACTTTGTACTCAAAGTTCTAAAAGTTTTTGGGCTACATATGCAATTGATAAGTTACTTCTTCAATGAATTTATAAAGGAGGCCATGCAATTATGGTCAACAAGATAATTGATTAATTCAGTACATTCAATGAGAAGCAATCATACTTATCCATGCATCAATGCACACAAGGTAGTGGACAGTTACTCAAATAATAGAAATTTATCTTTTGCTTAAAAGTAATCAAAAGTTGCAAAGTTGGAGCTATCTTTGATTTTGCTTGTTGTTTCGATAGCCCATAGCACAAATATGAATTTCAATAGTCAAATACATGCAACTTTTTGTCAGTATTTCTTACCAAAATAATTTTTGTGAAAAACTGCATATACATAGCTAAATCAAGCTATTTTGAATAGCTTAATAAAGCTAAATAGCTATTTCAAGCTATATAGCTAAATTAAGAGATTGTACTAGACCTGCTTATTTCCCAATCCCAACGATAAGACTTTCTTTATACATGTATATTCTGCAAATTCTCTCTGCATTTATCATTGAACAAAATTCATATGACTGCAATTATATGACCATATTCTTCAGTTTAGAGAGCATATTATAGAGGATATTTTGGTTAAAGTTTTGGTCTGTTTCATGCAGTGTTTGTAATATTCTTTCATCTTACACAATTGTATACATTAAGATTTATTTTATAGCTAAAGTACAAGAGAACTGCAGCATCTAAGACTACATGTACATCGACTTTGAATAATCTACCCGGTATATCCTCAAAAAGGCAACTCAAATACAGGTATGAAATTGATGTCACAAAATAAGTTTTTGGACTTACATTTACTCTTATAATTCATATACATATAAAGCATATAAAAATAAAAATAGAAAAGAATTAAAGGTTCATCAGGTGACAGCTCAATCATGTATGGAATATTATTAGGCCAAATAAAAAAATATGTGTGGTTCCCATTACCTGACCGTCCCTATTTTAGATCCCCAACCCTAAACTTTTTTTCGGCAATATTCATATTTATTTTCCGGAATTTTCCGCGATTTCCGTCATCCACTTCGGTATTAGTTTTAGTTCCAGCAATGGCGGCCTCCATGCAAAAATGGTTTCAACACGTAGTGCAAGTGTTTGATGGTGTTAAATCTAAAGCAAGCTAGCATGGCGTGGCAGTATACCATTTTCCAGCGCCATGTTTTTTTGTTTGTTTGTTTTTTGGTTGCCAAAATTAAATAAATATGCCCAAGAGTGGCGAGATTCAGTTAGTTGCTCTGTTTACAGCTGGTTTATAACAAGTGCATGCTGATTAGCCCCTTTATTATTTAATGCACGCAAAGGTGTGAAGTCAGGATAGGAAATCACTTCTCGCTTGAAAGCACACAGGCAGCTGGCCAGGTAATGTTTTTTGGAGTTAGGGGGAAGATAACATGAGAAAACATTTATTTGATTGCATTGATTACGCAAGAATTAGCCCAATGTGTAAGATAGATTAACTTGTAAACTATTAACTAATTTATATCAGGATCATTTCTTTTAAACCGAAAGTAGAAAAAAAAAACAGTTCATGAGGAAAAGTGAAAAAGAAGACTGCTGATATTACATGAATAAAGTCAACTTGCAAAACACCAATATATATGAGAAATGAGCTTGGAAGTATGAAGTCTTCAATGAGGCAAAAAGGTTTCATGATAGGATTTAAAATTTTAATAATATTAAATATTTGTAATTCTGACAAATTTGAATGATTCTATGTCATCTTGCTTAGGTGATTTATTTTGTTTTAAACATTACTGTACAAAGTGTAGGTGTCACATTCTTTTCCTCCGACAGCTCTTAGCAGAACTCTCAAGTCTGTTTTCTAGTTTATAGTTCAGAATTTATTATTAAGTAAAATAAGAACTGTTCTGGATAAAAGTAATTAATTAATTTCATTTATAAACACTGATTTTAAAAAAAGGATGTTCACTTTGGACTTTATTTTTTACAAAAAGAAAAGATTGTGTTTTCATTATTTTTGATTCAAAAATATTTGTTTCATATTCATAACTAGGGTGCCCCCTGCCAATGTTGACTAGTATTTTTAACGCCACATCGAAATGCCACTTATTTTCTCCTTCACTCTGTTCATCCACAAATAAAACATTTCTTTTCTGAACCATAGTTGGAAAAGACTGAATTCAAAATAAACAAAACATTTATTAGTTATGAGTTATATACTCAGCTCTTCACAAAATATTTCTGTTTTTTTGCATTCTATAATGTACAATTTTAGATTTTATATACCTGTATAAAGACTTCCGCAGCAGATTCCGGTAGAGAAATCATGATCTATATTTAAGATTTAATGTATAATGCTTAAGATATCCATTAATTTTACTTATAATATACAATTCTGAAATTAATATCATCCTTTAAAAACAAGGATAGCACATATCATCTTCGTAAACACTTAACATTCTAAAAAAAGAAAATATAATATCCAAATAACTGTTAAATAATTCAATTTGCTCATGCTGATTTTCTTCAAACATTGTATTTTCTAGATGAGTATGAACTCGAATGAATAGAATCAGCAAACAACTGTTTAAATACCCAAGACATTTTATTCACACATTAAAGCACATATCTAATCCATATGCTTAAGAGAAAACATATCTAACAATCTGCACATAAAATAGTTCACTTATGCTAACGAAAAGAAATAGGTATTATTTAGAAAAATTTAGAAAATCATTTTGTACAAAAAAAAAAAAAATCCCTACCTACCCTATTTTTTTGGAGGTGTAACCGGAACCACACATATTTTTTTGTTTGGCCTTAATGCTGAGTTTCCAAATGCAAAATTAAGGGTATTCAATATATTCCATACAAGTTGTCAGTCATTTATTAGTGATTTATACAGAGGTTCATTTGCATATAAATGTTGATAACATTGTTTTACTGTCTTTATTAACTTGTAATACTAAATTTTATAAATTGACAAATTCATTCTTTTTAGAAAGTGCATATAATTTGGAAAAGAGACCATCAATCCACTGGGGGGTATCGCATGAAAGCAATGATTATAGAATATTGTAAGGCTGGAGGAGTTATAGTACAACAGGCAGGCAAGTAATGGTACTTTGTTCTGGAAATTTTTCGCCCCAGTTTTATTTTTCTCATTCTGCCCTCCTTACAAGTAGGTGAATTTAAAACGGGACAAATTCGAAGAAGGCAGCATATATCTTTTAAACACAAATGTGTCTGATCAAATTTGAAAAGGGCAAAATTGTTTTCAAGGGTGAAAGAGTGAATATTTTAAAAATTAGAATGGGGTGAAAATATCCAATAATACAGGTTATATGTATTAACACAGTACATATGCATTTCTCTTTTCTTTATAATGAAAATAATTTGTTCTGTAAAAGGACAAATTTTGTTCTGATTTGTATCAAATAAATATGTGCCAGATTTATTATTTTGCAGGCACCTAAGTTACCATCAGTTGTGTGTCAAGCTGTGCAAAAATTCTATGTCATGTTACAGAATCTTTCTTAAATACAGGTATATGTCTGCTCATCTGGCAATCTTAGGACATCACTGGATGGTTTTGTTTAAAAAGATTACAGAGTTAACACACACTTCCAGCATGAAGACCAGCCAGTTGCCTCACCTGTCCTGACATTGTTAAAGGTAAATGGTCCTTTCAGAAAAGGATCTGACAATGCAAAGGCTTGCTAATCAATTAAAGATTTCTATTTACTAATAGGTAATTAATTTGAATTTCTGTAGCTTAAAAATTTAATGATATGAATTAAAGAAAATATTTTAATCAAAATTATTTTTATTTCAGTACTTTGTGACAGTGAAAAGACATGGCTTTAAATTACTGTATCAGAGATCAATCCAGGTTATAAATCTGAGGAAAACAATAAAGCATCCACTTCGAGCTACTTATATCACTGCCTTAATAAGATGTCTGCATGTGTAACTAACAAAGGACAGTGACCAGTTGTAGCTATGATATCAGAGGGCATCCTGAAAAACACTCATCACTAAGAATAGAAAACTTCAAATGACTTTTGTATCAATCCTTTTGAATTTCATCTGGCTTGGAATTTCAGTAGCCTTTAGCATCCTTCAAGCATTTCATGAAGTACATGTACCAATTTGCAGGCATAAAATGTTTGAAATAAAAAAAAAATAATTTCTCTGCCAATTAACAGTGTCATAAGCAGTTGATTGATATCACAGTTCCACTGGCATAGTATTTGTGGTTGAATGGTGCCATTTTTAAGAAAACTTTTCACAAAAACCTGGAAAACATCAGATGGAAAGGAGCATCTACAAGAAAAACAGTTAACACTTTCTTGAATATTAACAATGATATATCATGCCCATTTACATCCTTTATATAAACTAATTAACCTAATCATAGAGAATTATGTACAAATTTGTCCTTTTGTGTATTTATAGTGTATTAAATTGATTTTACTAATTAATAAATATTTATGTTTTTCACAGTCATTAACATTTACAAATAGAAGTACACATAACATAAAAATATTACATGTTTAGTAGGATAACGTGAAATTGTTATACCACAAAAACCATCGCTGACCTCGCCTCGGTCAGCAATGGTTTTTAAGGGGTAAGAATTTTACATCACCCAAAATAAACAGGTAATATTTTTCTTGTCATAAAATGCATTTTAAAGAAAACATCAAGGTGAAACGAATGTGCAAACATTCTGCACAGTTAACATTTTTTATTACTGTATATACTGTTACCCGTAGTCATGCATTTTCAACCATTGGGATGTAATGTTTGGCATACAGTATGGTAATAGTACTTGTTAACAAATTTTTTTAAACCAATCAAATTTGACTATTTAACATGAAAGTGTATCATAACAAATTTATCTAGCATAATGGTGCTGTAAGTAACCATGGAATGTGAGCTTGTGTGAACTTCATCCTGAATTATTAAGTTTTGATATTGTAAAAAAGAACTGTGCAGCCTAAACTTTAACTTGTACCTGATTTAAATGGAGTTCCGTCATTAACAACTTGGAAGTTGGAAGTTGTCACACTCATCATGAGTATAATAACTGGGGGATCTGCTTCATTTGCAGATACATGGATAACACATTCACTCAAAGCACTGTCCCTTTTTCAGTACCTTGTGCAGCCCTGTAATATATAATGACAAATGGAGAAAAATGCCTATTTCAAGAAAAAAAGTCTGTCTCATAATTGTAGGAGTATTGGCAAGGGGGGGGGGGGTCATGAAACTTGGCGGTTAATCCAGTTTGTATGTGTAAATGAAAAATGCCTTCTTCTTTGTAGAATAAAAAATGATTATTTTTTGAGTGTTTGTGACCATTTTTATTTCCGAATAGACAGGGTAGCTTAATAGCCTACAGAATGAGCTGACCATTTTTATTGTTGTAATTAAAAAAAAAAAGAATGTGTTTTCTACAAAGATCATATGTTATAGACGTGGTATTCAACTTTGTATTCCCATGGTCGATGCATTTGGGTACATCTATTTTTTTATTTGCTTTCAATGACATCGCATTCAATATCCCAAACTCATGTATACCTGTCCAATACTCCAAATTATACCACTGTAAGCTAAGTCAATGCTTTAAATTTATGAAACCAATCTGTAGATAAGCGTACCTTTTGAATACAGACGATTTTAGAAAAAAAAAACGATTTAATTTTCCCTTTTTGCTTAAGTATGTTGGCTAATCTTGGCCCCCTCGGAATAGCTTGTGTTTACGTTATGTAATGAAAAAATAAAGCAATTAAACGCTATCAGGGTTCGACACTAACCTTAGTCCGTTAGTCTCAGACTAATACATTTTCATTCGGACTAATAAAATATGTGGCTAATTAGTCCGAACGGACCAATAAAAATTTCTGAAAAACAATATCAATAAATTACCGATGTCCGATTCTCGACAACTTTTACTGGAAAACCCCGCGTGTATTTTTAGATTTCTAGTTTTTGGCGGGTAGTTACGCAATGCTGGGTCAATTCAGCGCTTAATTTTTCGACTGATCGATATGAAGTATAAGGTTTTAGCGATCATGATTTAGTATGACACTTTTAAGAAAGATGTTGGACGTTTTGGATGTAGTGGAAAGACAAAAAAAAAAAAAAAAAAGAAAAACGAGATCGGGAATACGATCGTATACTTGCTGATTGCGAGATTTCAATGAATCTATGGAATAATATATTTCACGTAAAGACTTTGTTTATTTAAAAAAATAATACGTATATTAATTGTCACGTTAAATTAATGTTAAAAAACATTGATGTTTCTTTTTTTTTTTGACGGACTAATAAAATCGCGTGCGGACTAGTAAAAGTAATGAAGCACTAGTCCGGCTGGACTAAAGCCTTAAAAAGTTAGTGTCGAACCCTGGCTATTTACCTGCATCTATCAATCCACTTTCTCCTCTTCTTTGCAACAATCGGGGATCAAAACAAACTGCAAGTTTAATAATTCCACTGCGATGCTTACAACTTAAGTAATCCATTGTCTCCAAGAACGCTCAGGTACCCGGGAGTTATAAAACGAAAGTGAAAGTCAACGAGACTTACAGACCCTTTGAATTTTCCTATAGTATACATGATAGATAAGTGTAATAAATATAAATTGTGAGCAAAACAAACAACAAATTCTACTGGGGTGCTTAAAACTAAATGCGAAGCTGTAATCTATTGTCTGCAAGAATGGTAAGTTATAAAACGAAAGTGAAAGTAAATGAGAATTAAAGCCAACAGTGGCTGTCAGCTATCATCCGCAACTGTACTCGGCAATGCTGGTACCGGACATCCATGACTGTACCTGCTCACTAATATCAAAAACGGAATGTCAGAGCAAGATTTTCCGGATTGTTCAACGTATTAAACTATATGTCGTTGATTAAGTATGGATTGTTTTTTAATGAAAAATACGAAATGTGTTAATATTTCTGATTTTAAATAAATCTACTTTATGGAAGGCTGTAATCGCCAAAACGGTAACGATAACTGGCTTAGTGAATATATCGCGGAAAATATATGTAAACTTGACTATGCCTAAATCCATTGCATGAATCGCTATTATCTCTAAAAAGTAACATTTACTACAGCGTACATTTTGTATATCTATGACTGTATCCTGTGCCTGATATACAACATCTGCGACTGTACCTGTGCCGTACATACACACTACCACTGGCTCAACCCGCGCTTGATTAATAACATCCACAACAAAAAATTCTGTGGATTTTCTCCGATTTAGATTTAAACTGAATTCAATCAAAGCGCAATTAACGCTAATCTTTATATTACCCATGACAGTGATACCGAGACAAACGATGTCAGCAGTAATTAGGGAAGGATCCAAAACTTTTACAGATTTAAGTTTAAAGCTTTATGTTCAGAGTACAATATGAGCCAGGTCTTTAATTATTTTTTTTTTGGGGTGGGGTGTGTGTGTGTGGGGGGGGGGGGGGGGCTGGGGGCATGATTTCAATATCCTATGTGCTCAATAATAATGATGAATTTAAAATTAAACATGCTAGTATAATTATAGAAAATATATGAGTAAACAATAAACAAAGCAAAATAAAAAAGGAAATTAAAATAAATATCGGAATTAATTTGTAATCCTTAATTTTATGTTAGAAAGTATAAGTACGTCACAATATTATCAATTTCACCCATTTCATTGATCACGCAAGTGGTGTCAATGAAAAACACAGGTTTTTTCCCATAAATATATGTCTTACGATATATACGGGTGGAATGGGCTGATTCACCCGTTTTCAATGTGTTATATATAAACATCTCAAGTGCAACCCAGGAAGTAGCCTCCTATGCCCTGCATGAAAAAGAATAGATACTGACAAAAAAACCTTTATTTATTTACAAAGTACATAAAATTTACTAGGCACAGGCATCAAAGTTGTAAAAATAGACTGGAAGACCCCCCCCCCCCCCAAAAAAAATTCTCAAAAGAAATAAAAATTAATTTTATATGCATGGAACAATTAACATCTTGACTGGTCGATAACCGTGGTGTGATACCTGAAATATGTAGGGTATGGTATTAAAATAATTGATC